GCCATACTTCAAGCAGGCAATTGCAACCTAACAACCTACAAGTACCAGTATACAAACTGTGACAATGCAACACATGTGGTGAAACCCAAACATCAACATTTGCTTGTCCAATACTACGTGTTTTCATCAAGGTTGGAAGAAAGTCATGCAGTTAGAATATGGGAATTGATGCAGGTTCGCTCCATATCACTGCTTGACTTTAAGCAAGCAATTGCAACCTAACAACCTACAAGTACCAGTATACAAACTGTGACAATGCAACCCATGTGGTGAAACCCTAACATCAGCATTTGCTTGTCCAATACTACGGGTTTGCATCAAGGTTGGAAGAAAGTCATGCAGTTAGAATATGGGAATTGATGCAGGTTCGCTCCATCTCACTGCCATACTTCAAGCAGGCAATTGCAACCAAACAACCTGACAGTATACAAACTGAGACAATGCAACCCATGTGCCCATGTGGTGCAACCCGAAGATCAGCACGTATTTGTTCAATACCACTGGTTTGCACGAAGGTTGGGAGAAAAACGTGCAATTAGAATATGGGAATGAATGCAGGTTCGCACCATCTCACAACTTGGTTTCTAAGCAGGCAATTTCAACCAAACAACCTGCCAGTATACAAGTTGTGCGAAACTGTGCCAACGCAACCCATGTGGAGCAACCCAGATATCAACATTGCTTATCCAATACTACGGGTTTGCATCAAGGTTGGAAGAAAGTCATGCAGTTAGAATATGGGAATTGATGCAGGTTCGCTCCATCTCACTGCTATACTTCAAGCAGGCAATTGCAACCAAACAACCTGACAGTATACAAACTGAGACTATGCAACCCATGTGGTGCAACCCAAACATCAGCACGTATTTGTTCAATACCACTGGTTTGCACGAAGGTTGGGAGAAAAACATGCAGTTAGAATATGGGAATGAATTCAGGTTCGCACCATCTCACAACTTTGTTTCTAAGCAGGCAATTTCAACCAAACAACCTGCCAGTATACAAGTTGTGCGAAACTGTGCCAACGCAACCCATGTGGAGCAACCCAGATATCAACATTGCTTATCCAATACTACGGGTTTGCATCAAGGTTGGAAGAAAGTCATGCAGTTAGAATATGGGAATTGATGCAGGTTCGCTCCATCTCACTGCTATACTTCAAGCAGGCAATTGCAACCTAACAACCTACAAGTACCAGTATACAAACTGTGACAATGCAACCCATGTGGTTAAACCCAAACATCAACATTTGCTTGTCCAATACTACGGGTTTGCATCAAGGTTGGAAGAAAGTCATGCAGTTAGAATATGGGAATTGATGCAGGTTCGCTCCATCTCACTGCCATACTTCAAGCAGGCAATTGCAACCTAACAACCTACAAGTACCAGTATACAAACTGTGACAATGCAACCCATGTGGTGAAACGCAAACATCAACATTTGCTTGTCCAATACTACTGGTTTGCATCAAGGTTGGAAGAAAGTCATGCAGTTAGAATATGGGAATTGATGCAGGTTCGCTCCATATCACTGCTTGACTTTAAGCAAGCAATTGCAACCTAACAACCTACAAGTACCAGTATACAAACTGTGACAATGCAACCCATGTGGTGAACCCAAACATCAACATTTGCTTGTCCAATACTACTGGTTTGCATCAAGGTTGGAAGAAAGTCATGCAGTTAGAATATGGGAATTGATGCAGGTTCGCTCCATCTCACTGCTATACTTCAAGCAGGCAATTGCAACCAAACAACCTGACAGTATACAAACTGAGACAATGCAACCCATGTGCCCATGTGGTGCAACCCGAACATCAGCACGTATTTGTCCAATACCACTGGTTTGCACGAAGGTTGGGAGAAAAACGTGCAATTAGAATATGGGAATGAATGCAGGTTCGCACCATCTCACAACTTTGTTTCTAAGCAGGCAATTTCAACCAAACAACCTGCCAGTATACAAGTTGTGCGAAACTGTGCCAACGCAACCCATGTGGAGCAACCCAAATATCAACATTGCTTGTCCAATACTACGGGTTTGCATCAAGGTTGGAAGAAAGTCATGCAGCTAGAATATGGGAATTGATGCAGGTTCGCTCCATCTCACTGCTATACTTTAAGCAGGCAATTGCAACCAAACCAACCTACAAGTTACCAGTATACAAAACTGTGAACCAACCGCAACCATGTGGTGAACAACCGGCCAAACCCATCAACAGTTTGCTTGTCCCCAATACTACGGGCTGCATTTTCAGCAAGGTTGTAAGAAGAATGCAATAGAATAGCGGGAATTGATGAGGTTCGCTTCCATATCATGCCTATTACTTCAAGCAGGCAATTGCAACCAAACAACCTGACAGCATACAAACTGAGACAATGAAACCCATGTGGTGCACCCCAAACATCAGCACGTATTTGTTCAATACCACTGGTTTGCACGAAGGTTGGGAGAAAAACGTGCAGTTAGAATATGGGAATGAATGCAGGTTCGCACCATCTCACAACTTTGTTTCTAAGCAGGCAATTTCAACCAAACAACCTGCCAGTATACAAGTTGTGCGAAACTGTGCCAACGCAACCCATGTGGAGCAACCCAGATATCAACATTGCTTATCCAATACTACGGGTTTGCATCAAGGTTGGAAGAAAGTCATGCAGTTAGAATATGGGAATTGATGCAGGTTCGCTCCATCTCACTGCTATACTTCAAGCAGGCAATTGCAACCAAACAACCTGACAGTATACAAACTGAGACTATGCAACCCATGTGGTGCAACCCAAACATCAGCACGTATTTGTTCAATACCACTGGTTTGCACGAAGGTTGGGAGAAAAACATGCAGTTAGAATATGGGAATGAATTCAGGTTCGCACCATCTCACAACTTTGTTTCTAAGCAGGCAATTTCAACCAAACAACCTGCCAGTATACAAGTTGTGCGAAACTGTGCCAACGCAATCCATGTGGAGCAACCCAAATATCAACATTGCTTGTCCAATACTAGGGGTTTGCATCAAGGTTGGAAGAAAGTCATGCAGTTAGAATATGGGAATTGATGCAGGTTCGCTCCATCTCACTGCTATACTTTAAGCAGGCATTTGCAACCAAACAACCTGACAGTATACAAACTGTGACAATGCAACCCATGTGGTGAAACCCAAACATCAACATTTGCTTGTCCAATACTACGGGTTTGCATCAAGGTTGGAAGAAAGTCATGCAGTTAGAATATGGGAATTGATGCAGGTTCGCTCCATCTCACTGCCATACTTCAAGCAGGCAATTGCAACCTAACAACCTACAAGTACCAGTATACAAACTGTGACAATGCAACACATGTGGTGAAACCCAAACATCAACATTTGCTTGTCCAATACTACGTGTTTTCATCAAGGTTGGAAGAAAGTCATGCAGTTAGAATATGGGAATTGATGCAGGTTCGCTCCATATCACTGCTTGACTTTAAGCAAGCAATTGCAACCTAACAACCTACAAGTACCAGTATACAAACTGTGACAATGCAACCCATGTGGTGAAACCCTAACATCAGCATTTGCTTGTCCAATACTACGGGTTTGCATCAAGGTTGGAAGAAAGTCATGCAGTTAGAATATGGGAATTGATGCAGGTTCGCTCCATCTCACTGCCATACTTCAAGCAGCCAATTGCAACCAAACAACCTGACAGTATACAAACTGAGACAATGCAACCCATGTGCCCATGTGGTGCAACCCGAACATCAGCACGTAATTGTTCAATACCACTGGTTTGCACGAAGGTTGGGAGAAAAACGTGCAATTAGAATATGGGAATGAATGCAGGTTCGCACCATCTCACAACTTTATTTCTAAGCAGGCAATTTCAACCAAACAACCTGCCAGTATACAAGTTGTGCGAAACTGTGCCAACGCAACCCATGTGGAGCAACCCAGATATCAACATTGCTTATCCAATACTACGGGTTTGCATCAAGGTTGGAAGAAAGTCATGCAGTTAGAATATGGGAATTGATGCAGGTTCGCTCCATCTCACTGCTATACTTCAAGCAGGCAATTGCAACCAAACAACCTGACAGTATACAAACTGAGACTATGCAACCCATGTGGTGCAACCCAAACATCAGCACGTATTTGTTCAATACCACTGGTTTGCACGAAGGTTGGGAGAAAAACATGCAGTTAGAATATGGGAATGAACTCAGGTTCGCACCATCTCACAACTTTATTTCTAAGCAAGCAATTTCAACCAAACAACCTGCCAGTATACAAGTTGTGCGAAACTGTGCCAACGCAACCCATGTGGAGCAACCCAAATATCAACATTGCTTGTCCAATACTACGGGTTTGCATCAAGGTTGGAAGAAAGTCATGCAGTTAGAATATGGGAATTGATGCAGGTTCGCTCCATCTCACTGCTATACTTCAAGCAGGCATTTGCAACCAAACAACCTGACAGTATACAAACTGTGACAATGCAACCCATGTGGTGAAACCCAAACATCAACATTTGCTTGTCCAATACTACGGGTTTGCATCAAGGTTGGAAGAAAGTCATGCAGTTAGAATATGGGAATTGATGCAGGTTCGCTCCATCTCACTGCCATACTTCAAGCAGGCAATTGCAACCTAACAACCTACAAGTACCAGTATACAAACTGTGACAATGCAACACATGTGGTGAAACCCAAACATCAACATTTGCTTGTCCAATACTACGGGTTTGCATCAAGGTTGGAAGAAAGTCATGCAGTTAGAATATGGGAATTGATGCAGGTTCGCTCCATATCACTGCTTGACTTTAAGCAAGCAATTGCAACCTAACAACCTACAAGTACCAGTATACAAACTGTGACAATGCAACCCATGTGGTGAACCCAAACATCAACATTTGCTTGTCCAATACTACTGGTTTGCATCAAGGTTGGAAGAAAGTCATGCAGTTAGAATATGGGAATTGATGCAGGTTCGCTCCATCTCACTGCTATACTTTAAGCTTGCAATGCCATACTTCAAGCAGGCAATTGCAACCAAACAACCTGACAGCATACAAACTGAGACAATGAAACCCATGTGGTGCAACCCAAACATCAGCACGTATTTGTTCAATACCACTGGTTTGCACGAAGGTTGGGAGAAAAACGTGCAATTAGAATATGGGAATGAATGCAGGTTCGCACCATCTCACAACTTTATTTCTAAGCAGGCAATTTCAACCAAACAACCTGCCAGTATACAAGTTGTGCGAAACTGTGCCAACGCAACCCATGTGGAGCAACCCAAATATCAACATTGCTTGTCCAATACTACGGGTTTGCATCAAGGTTGGAAGAAAGTCATGCAGTTAGAATATGGGAATTGATGCAGGTTCGCTCCATCTCACTGCCATACTTCAAGCAGCCAATTGCAACCAAACAACCTGACAGTATACAAACTGAGACAATGCAACCCATGTGGTGCAACCCAAACATCAGCACGTATTTGTTCAATACCACTGGTTTGCACGAAGGTGGGGAGCAAAACATAGATAAGCTTTTACACACAGCAACTTTTACACAACAAATCATTGAATTTATTCAATCCCAATGGTTATTGTTATGGTTTACCGTATCGGTATGCCTTGGCTGTGCACTTTGGAGTGCGTGCACACGATGAAATGCACAGTACAATATGGGGCAATACACTACACGCATTGTACAGCACATCATGAAATCAAAGGCATCGATCGCAGGAAGAAAAATACTGTAAACAACTGGAAGGGAAGTCGGTGAACAAGGTTTTGGATGGTTCGGGATATTCTAACTGCAGTTGGTTTTTTCCAAAATCCCATATTCTAACTATAAGCTTTGTTTTTATGATTTTAGCAAATTCTATCTATTTTACAAAAAAATCCACATTCTAACTGCCAGTCGGTTCCTGTAGATAGATAGATAGATAGATCGATAGATAGATAGATAGATAGAAATATAGATAGATAGATACATAGATAGATAGATAGATACATAGATAGATAGATAGATAGGTAGATAGATAGATAGATAGATAATTCGACAGGATAGGATGGGATTGGATTGGATTGGATAGGATAGATAGATAGATTAGATTAGATTGGATGGATTAGTTAATTAGTTAGTTAGTTAGTTAGTTTGTTAGTTTGTTTGTTTGTTTCTTTGTTTGTTTGTTAGTTAGATAGATAGATTTATTAGATTTATTTGGTTTATTAGATAGATTAGATAGATTAGATAGATTAGATAGATTAGATAGATTAGATAAATTAGATAGATTAGACAGATTAGATAGATTAGATAGATTAGACAGACTAGAAGGATTAGATAGATTAGATAGATTAGATAGACTAGAAGGATTAGATAGATTAGATAGACTAGATAGACTAGATAGACTAGATAGATTTGATAGACTAGCTGGATTAGATAGATTAGATAGACTAGATAGACTAGATAGACTAGATAGATTAGATAGATTGGATAGACTGGATAGATTAGAAAGATTAGATAGATTAGATAGATTAGACAGATTAGATAGATTAGATTGATGGACAGATAGGCAGATAAATAGATAAATAGTTAGATAGATAGATAGATAGATAGTTAGATACAGTAGATTGATAAATAGATAGGTAGATAGATAACTAGAGGGATAGATAGATACGACATAGATAGATCGATAGATGGAAAGATAGATACATAGATAGATAGATAGGTAGATAAATAGATAGATAGACATATAGATAGATAGATAGATAGATAGATATATAAATAGATATATGGATAGATGGATGGATAGATAGATAGATGGTTAGATAGATAGATGGATAGATAGCTTGGCAGATAGATCAATAGATAGATAGATAGATAGATATAGATAGATATAGATAGATAGATGGATAGATAGATGGATAGATAGCTTGGCAGATAGATCAATAGATAGATAGATAGATAGATATAGATAGATAGATAGATGGATAGATAGATGGATAGATAGATGGATAGATAGATGGATAGATAGATAAATAGATAGATAGATAAATAGGTTGATAGATAAATATATACCTGTGGTTCTTTCAATATAATTTGCAACCTCCTTTGCTCGGCGGGGGGTGCGAATTTTGTTCTTGTGCATGCCAAGTCGCATGCATGCTTTATATATATATATTCACAATCATAGATTCATTTGCATCTAGATGCGTGCATACATTGCATTGCGTTGCATTACATTACATACATATATATATAAGACACACGTAAATTGAACTATATTATATGGTGTGTGTGTATGCATATGTATACATGTGTTTATATGTGTGGATGTGTGCCCGGAGGCATGACGGGGCCAGTGATGAATGGATCCAAGACATTGCGCCAGGGTTTCGGTTGGGGATTTGAGCTGAAGGTCGCGTTCGGTATCGCAAAGTATGCGTTGAAGAAGGACATCGGTTCCTGGTCGTGTCAAATCACACTTGGCGGGAACCACAAGGACCCCCCACGAAGAAGAGAAATGGGCTACGGATGGCCACGGGAAAATGTTAGTACATACATGAATTGGAACATGGTCAGTCATTTGACATCCACATGGTCACATGTCACATGTCAGTCATCATTTGTGTCAACCCCCTGTTTTCACTTTGGTTTGTTGTTGGACGGAGATTGACATCCACATGTAACATGTCCAATTCTTGTTTGAATCTACCACTGCATATCATGCCTTGAACTGGCTTCATTCAAATCCCCTAAGTTTACCACAATTCATCCAAATTTGGTTTAGTCAAATTTAGTCATCTCTCCCCACACATCTTTGAAATGAAACGACTCCTTAAACTATGTTGTTTGGCATAATATATATATATAATGTATGTGTGTGTGTCTGTGTGTACGTGTGTGTGGCATCGTTTTTCTTCGCCAAACATGGGGAAAACACCCACCATCCGAAGCCCCTCCCCAGGTCTCAACGAGGTCATTACGGCCCAGGGCTTGATCGTCTCCGCAGCGACCCGGTCGCCGAAGTTCCCTCGTCGGTAAACATACAAAAAACAATGGAAAATCACCATTTTCAATGGGTAAATCCACTATATCTATGGTCAAAACCATGGAAAATCACAATTGTTAATGGGTATGGCAACGAAACCAATAGCAAACTGTTAGTTTACTAATGGGTAAATCAACTATATATCTGTGGCCATGGCTTCAACAGCAAACTGTTGGTTT